GAGACTAACAAATTTAGTAGAGCATAAGCTCTTAGTTTACGGCAGCTTATGCTCTAATATATTTGTTAGTCTCTAAGGTGCCACAAGTACTCCTGTTCTTCTTTTTGCAGATAATAAACAGCGTAACATGCCCGTGCTAATAAGTATACCAGAGATTAGCCCAATCCTAACATGGGCTCTGGCTGGAACAGTCCTTCAATATACCACCCATGGGTTACTTGTTCTTTCAAGTTCATCACAGCTTCAGCTCAGAACATGTCCCCAGTCTTATGGGGACTCAGTAGACTCCAATCCTTCCAAGCCTTTCCTAAGGATTGGGGCCCTCCATGGACCAGGAATCCTGTCTGTTTGTTGCATCAGGTAGAAGGCCATGAGCCTGTGTAAAAGCAGGCTATTAATCCAAAAATCCCTTATTTGCTTGTTGGTCCATGGAGAATCCGGTTTGCACTAGTATATGCACACCTCTCCAGGAGGGTGGTTTCAAAGAGCTGATAACAGGAGGAAATACATTGGCTTCCCTGTCCTCTTAAAGGAATTGCATAGAGTTCCACAGTGACACATACACAATCACATTTTTAATACAATGGACTCCAAAGACATTAAACCTAATTCAGTAAAGTTCATTCAGGATATTGCAGGAAATTGTCAGTTTGTCCCATCCACCACCTGGAAATGCTCATATATATTAGTTCAGACTGGATTCATGAGAGAGCAGCAGACAAAGAAAGGACTTTTGGATAAATAGCCTGAGTTTAAACTGACTCGGGGCCTGCATTTTGATCCATAATGGACAGGAACCTCTGTGTAAAGGAGGGCCCAATTCTTGCTGAACATTTGGAAGGATTTGAACTTCTAGAGCCCCATAAGACTGATGGGTGACGTCTGGTAAGTTTATTAGCATGCATGTAGGAACTTTTATTGGTTTTGATGTGTTTTCTCTGTAATGCTTTTACTTTAAGAATAAATGTGCTTGCTTAGAAGGAGCTGTGTGGTAACTTTATAATTGTGGGCAATACACTGGTCATAGGCTTTGCAGGGAAAGCAAAGTGCAGGCAGTGGCCTGTTTACATAGTTTGACTTGCTGGGGATATCAAACTATAATCCATGGTGCTGTTCAGCCTTAAACCCCCAGCCAGGAGGGAGGGAGGGAGTCCCAGGTCTTCACCCAAGGGAGGTGACAGCTAGGGGCCAGGAACCTAAAGTGGGTGCTATTGGTGGGCGACGGAGTGGGAATACAGATACAATTGCCCTGAAACTGTGACAGTATCTATCTAGGTTTTAATACTATACTGAACCACGCTTTTTGAGCATAATCTAAATTTAAGAAAAATATTAATTCTTTTACATTTTAATGAGACATCTGAAACAAAATCTCCTGATTTCTCCTTGATAATAATTCTTTGTAATCTGCTTTCTAATTTATGTTGAAGTGGACTTTAACAAAAAAAGTTAAGAAAAGTGTCTAGAAATGGACATGTAGTGGACTCTTTGCAATATGAAGATTTGTTCAAGTACTTAAGTCCATTATTCTTCATTATTGTTATCATTATCATCATCCAGTCAGATAATTCCATTAGAAGGCCAAAAATTTCATGTTTCCCAGTAGTAAGAATAAAACATAATGGGAGATAATTAAAGAACCTACATTTAAAATATATGTGCACACTCATTCATATATAATATACATAGAATGATCATGTACATATATTTAGACTTTGTGTGTATGTAAATGTATACACAAATGCACAAAGTGGTGAGGTAATATCTTTTACTGGACCACATTTTGTTGGTGAGAGAGACAAGCTTTCGAGCCACACAGAGCCCCTCCATGAGTCTGGGAAAGGATCTCTCCCACCAACAGAAGATGGTCCAATAAAATATATTACCTCACTCCCCTTTGTCTCTCTAATATCCTGGGACAAACACAGCTACAACTACACTGCATACACACATGCACACACATTCAACTACATTAATGAATAGTAATGTGTGTGTGTGTGTGTGTGCGCGCGCTCATGCATATGTAATTATGTAACACACACAAAAACTATGATAAGAGAACATTCAGGTTGCAAAGTCAAGTATTCAAAAGTTAGGAAATGCTTGAATTAATTCAACTCCCTTTTCTGTAGCATTATGATACAGTTTTTAATTACATGACCACAGGCTATTTTTCAGGCAGTCCTCATTCAATGCATAGGATGGACGGTGCCTCAACTCCCATCTCTAAAATAGGAATAATATCACCCCCTCACTTCAGAAGATTGTTGTGAAGATTAATTTAATTATGTCTGGAAAGCACCCAGATTCTATAGTAATGAGCACCAAAGAATAGACCATTAGGAAATTACTAATTATGCCTTAAGAAAAAGATGGCTCTCGCTTTGGGAATTTGCTTTTTTGATGGTTCCTCAGAGCCAAAATGTGGGCCTACAATTCGCAACCAAGCCAGAGAAGTCCCTTACAATTTGTTCAAGGCTTTAACACACTTATAGAACACAGCTAAGGTCCCGACAACGTGACAGATTGAAAACATGATATAACCAGGTCAGGGAACAACTTGGCCACCTAATTTGATTTTAACAGTAATATAGAAAGTCCCTTTAGCTGTATTCCAGATGCTGTGTAGGAGACAGCTCATTATTCTGGCAGATCTCTGGCACCCAACTACAACTGTGGGGTTTATCTGACTGACCCGGATGGATTACATTTGTGTATATTTTTTATTATGTAGTTTAATTATGTTAGGCCCTCAGAAGCTAGGATCATCATAAATATTTATATAAATAACTAAAACAAATATATATAATTCCAACTGTTCTCTGGAATAGATCAAACTCCCTAGATATTACTAGTGGGCCTTTCCCTCATCCAAATATAACTAAACTGCCTTGCCCAGGTGTTAGAGAAGATACCAGTATTCCTAAAAACTTGTCACTCAGCTGCAGTCCTGATGAGGATTGCCACCCTCACAATTCCAGGCCGGCGGCACTGCCCTCATGAACAGCATCATCATACGTACTAGTTACACTTAAATCCCTGGTCTGAAATGCCACCTGACGATAGTTTTTGCACTACTAATGGCAAATGCTACATCGTGCTAAGCACCAATAAATATTGACCCTCCTTGCATTCTAAATAAAAGGCAACCCTTTCCAGCATGGCTGTCACTTCAGTAGACTCCAAAGGAGGAAAATGACAATGGTTACTCACCTCGACAAACTTCACTTACTTATAAACAAGATATAGGTGCATATTCAGAATTCATGTCTCAAGTAAAAAAATACAAACACAAGTGCAAACATAAAAAAGCCTCATTTAGGTTACCTTGGATACTCTGTTTGCAACCTCTCTGCCTACAGTCAGCCCCTGAACAAAGGTCCGTGCAGCAATGAAAGCTCTAGTCACTTGAATCTTCAGTTTCCTGGGTACATCTCCAAATGGTTTCAGCTGGTCTGTGTATTTGCTTACACACTCCAGATAGTCCTCAGTGAAATGATATTGGGGGTTTATGAGCTGGAACATTCGCTCCAATAGCCGAGCCCAAAAATCATTCAGCATCTCCTCCAAATTTACATTGCCTCCTGTATAATATCGTTTCAATTCTGTGAAGAGGTCCTGGAACACTTCTGAATTCTGCATGTACAGCATTCCATATGTTCGTACAAACATATCATTTAAGGATTTTTCTGCGTTCTCCAAAAGCTCTCGGAAAAATTCTGCAGAGAAAATAAAAAGGTATATACAGAACAAAATTAATAAAATGCCCATGGCATGTTTCTTGCCTTCATGATGGTATTGCCTTCACGACGGTATTACGTTTAACAAAATTTGCTCAAGTAAATGTTATTGTCATTTGCATGTTTAATAGAAAAAGTCAGTTATTTAAATTGGAAATAGGTTCATTTAAGAGCAATGAAAAATGGAAAGCATATTGTATTCCCCACTGAGGTTAAAAAGAAACTTTAAATCCATAACTCTAAATTCTAAATATGCATTTGAGAGAGCTGCAATGAAAATTGTTCCATTATTTAAACCAGGCATCTCAAACTCAAATCACCACAATGGCCACATGAAGACTAGTACAATGGCCTGAGGGCCGCATCACTGAAACCTTTTCTTATAACGATACAAAAGTATAGTAAAAATTTAAAAATTAAGAGCAATACAGTATGCTATTAAAAGTCAATGTATTAACTTTTTAAAAACTGTAATGCGAAGAGGGGCGGCGGGGGGAGGGGAGCTTAGCTGCCGGTGGAGTCGGCACCTATGGCAGGCCGCAGGAAATAACTCCGTGGGGCGCATGCGTTTTTGAGACCCGTGATTTAAACCTAGCAATCCCTGCCACTTGCCAAACTCTCAATAGCGAACAGCCAATGTCCCGAAACTTGTGTACTAAACAAGAAACCATTAATATAATGAGATGACTAGAACTACGGCAATATAGGAAAATGCAAGTAATTAAATCTTCTATTTTATTCTATTGAGGTTCTTCACTCATCACTATGGTATCTGATCTCCATGGTATCTTATAATTTACTTTCAGCTTTCAAAAATTCTTCAAAGGTTTGAACTGAGACATATTGGGGCCTGATCCTACAAGCCCTCCACACACAGAAGCCCTTTAAACAGTAATACTAGCCTGAGTAAAAAGATGTTGCTATTGTCAGTAATTTAATGCTATTCTGAAGCACTGTGTTGGCATTTGGGCCAGTGTTTTTCAAACAGCCTGCTGACTGCAACATTGTACAGATTGCAGGGTCTGGGACACCATGTTAGCAGCGGGCTTGTTTACCTATTCTTTCTTTTGATAACTAAATTTACTGCTCCTCAGTTTATTTACCCAGCCTCGAGCCATAGCCTGTTCAAAGTCTTGACTTCAGGGTTGTATGTTTATTGGAAAATGGGCCAATGGAACCCTCAGCAGCCATCTCTGGCATCTCTCTGACACATGAGCTCAGGAGGACATTGGGAGGAGGTAAGTTAGTCCAGGTTCTCTGTCACTGGTTATCCACCTTACACCACCACTGAGATACTTATGCTGGGAAATTATATTAGAGTGATTCTCTTAAGACTTTCCTTAAAACATTGTCAGTGGAATTCAACACCACTACCCTCTGGTTTTACATTAGAGTTCAAGTCCCTCACTCCATGCACTCTCTTTATAAATCTCCATGGCTTGCAATGAACTCCCTAAACACAAACTCTGAGAGGCCAGGAGGTAGATTTCCCCAAGTTGTTTGGTGGGAAAGGAATAGCAAACTGCCTCCATTGGGGTTTTCTTCACTTGCATGATCACAAAGCACTTTCAGAAGGTGTTGAATGGAGTCAATGGGGCTACTGAGACTTTAACAAAACATTTAGAATAACATATTGTATGGATCAAACATTAGTTGGAAGGGAAAAAAAATTATAAATGCACCCGTCTATACAAACATGACATTATAGACGATATAAAAATTTAACATAAGCCCACATGAGGAAGGAACTATGTTAGTAATAGTAGGAATGAAAGTTAATTATTGCAAGTTGCTTACTAGGATATAATAATTATGTTATTGTGCATTGACTCAATAATTATGCCATCCCACAATTGTGTATTGACCTGGATAAAGCCATCGTCTCCACATCAAAGGAAAAGACTAAAAAGACTACATCTGCATGGTCTCTTTGGGCAGACACGCATTCTTTGGGGAACATATGATCAAATCTTAAATTGGCAGGCTCAGGCAAATAGGGACAGACACTAATTTAATAGGGAAAAGATTCTCTGCTAGGCAAGATATTCAGGTACTTTATACAATACTTTGCAATGTAAACTCTTAAGGGAACATTTTCAAAAGTGCTTAAATGTCAGGACCCTAAATAACACAGGTGGCTTTTAAAATTTTAGCCATTATCTACAGTGCTGAGTGAAGCTTTGAATACTATTTGTCTAGGCAAGTATGTTTTCATAGAATCATAGGACTGAAAGGGATATCAAGAGGTCGTCTAGTCCAGTCCTCCACACTCATGGCAGGATTAAGTATTACCTAGACCAGGGGTCGGCAACCTCTAGCACGTGGCTCGCCCCAGGCCAATGGGGGCGGCGGGAAGCCGCGGCCAGCACATCCTTCGCCCACGCCGCTTCCTGCACCCCCATTGGCCTGGGACGGCGAACCACCTCCAGATGTTTTTCATCAGTGAAAAGCAGCCATCAAACCAGTGGTTCCAGGCCCCTTAAAATTCCCTTAGGTAAGATCTTGCATGTCATAGGGCTGCTGTAGTGGTTTCTCTGCCAGCCCCTCCCAGTCCATTGTTAATAGTCTCAGTATTATCATAAGTGGTGTGGAAGAACCACCAGCATTAAGGTTGTATTATGACTTTTCTTGAAAGGTTCACCTTTTTAAATCCTCTAAAATGAACATACCTAGTTGGACTTCTTTGAAAGTTGGCGTGACTCAGGAAGGTACATGGTAGGTTTAGTGACCCAGATTTGGGGCCATTTGAGCTAATGGTTGTGGAGATATAAGCCCAGCAAAATAGTCATTTTTCAAGAAGTTTCTAGTTTTTTTGGGGTTTTTTTGTATGCAGAGTTAGAGATAAAACTATTGATGTGATGTGGGTCAAAATGGTCTCATCTTGTCGAGTTTTATCCAAGATAGAGCAGGCACCCACTACATTTTGGAAGAACTAAAACTGAGATCAATACACCTCTACCCCAATATAATGCAACCCGATATAACACGAATTCGGATATAAGGCGGTAAAGCAGCACTCTGGGGGGACGGGGCTGCGTGCTCCAGCGGATCAAAGCAAGTTCAATGTAACGCAGTTTCACCTATAACGTGGTAAGATTTTTTGGCTCCCGAGGACAGTGTTATATCGAGGTAGAGGTGTATTTAAGAAAATGTTCATTTTACAGTGTCCATGTGCCAATACAGAAAAACAGCTAGCTTTCCATTCTCACATTTTATATTAAAGCTTGACTCTTGTAAGTGCTTTAACATTTGAATGGCTAATCATATTGTTTTGAAATTTGGTGTGCCTTATGTGAGCTCAGGGTAGTGTTAGTGATCCACATTTGGAGTCATTTGCACGAGGGGTTCCTGAGTTACAGTATCCTTCTGCTGCCTTGTACTATTAAACTGAGGGGTACTAATGACTTGATGAATCACTGAACTCCTTGAGACTGATGGCTGTGAACTCACCCTCAAATTAACATAATTAAGGATAAGTTAATTACAAAGCCCCACTTAGGACAGTTTTGGAGTGAGTGGATGAAGGCCGGTACAGTTTGAGAGTCATAAATGGCAGTTTTATTTGGGTGACAATGCAATACAAATATTTGGTAGTGTCGCAACCCTATGCTCAGACATGGCGTCTGGATGGCCAATTGTCGGTCAATAGGTCACACTGGTGTCGTGTGCAACACATTGGTGTCGTGTGCACCGTCATAGTGCCGTGTGCCTACTCTCGAACCTTCTGCCTGGTTAATTGTAGGTCACATTGGTACCGTGTGCTACAATACCAGTGTGTTGTGTGCATAAACTTAGTGTGCCGGGTGCAGTATCTGTTGACGTAGAGGGCACCAGCTCAGAACCCGGTTTGTGTAGGAGTGGGGGGCCAATCAAATGCTGGCACGAGTAAGGGTCTTCGAATAAAACTATGTCCCGCGCCAAAATCAGTAGGAGTGTCCGCGTGTTAGCTGAAAGGCCTTATCACCCTTTCAGCCAGGGTCTCCTCCGGATTTAGCCAGCTCGTGTCGTGTCGTTTCGGATTACATCCCGTCATGCCCCTGGTGTCTGTACTGCTGGTCAGCTGTGCCTGGAGTGTGGTATGTGTATTTTAATTTTTGTAAATATTCTGTTTGCTTGGCCTCTTCCCTTTTTCTCCTCCCTTACTTGGTACCAAATCTCGTGTATAGTATATAGGGGACGAATTGTTGTATTAATTGCTGTTGTGGTCAGTTGGCGTATTTTATGGGATTCGATTAACGCATGTACAGTTTACTCAGTTTTGTATGTCGGTTTTTAGTGAACAATTGATTATAGATCATTTGGTTCTTCGTTGTTGGATGTAAATAGACTGTTTCAAGTCACATATTCTGGTGATACTTTTGGTTGATGACTTGTTCCTATTTAAATTAGAGTTGTGTGAATATTTTTACTCTGATAGTATTGCTAGTTGGTAAAAGTACTCCTCCCCAGCCCAAGTTGTAATTCATTCCCCATTAATAAACAACCATCTGTTTTGAATTGCAATCTGTCTTCGTTTCAATTTTCCTCTTTCACTCGAATACTCATTCGAACCTGTATTGGTCTCGGACAGGTAGGAAAATTGTACATGTGACTGTTTCCAGGGAGAGAAAAGATAGAGCATGGAGGAGGAGGGGTATTGGGGAGAGGGGTTTGGGGGCAGAGGGATTTTCACACAATACAGCCCAACTTAGTTGTGGCCTTTAGATACTTGCACAATCTAAATGTTAAATAACTGCAACTAACTCTACAAGCTTAAATTGCATTTTAGTCCAAATGCGAAGCCAGGCTTATGAGATGATATAGGAAAGCTAATGTCTTTCAAACTGCCATGCATTTAATTCATTTTCAGCCTTCCACTGGGTCTCTGCACTTTGAAGGCCATTGTTGAGAATAAATTATTATGCCATTTGAAAGTTAAACAGTTTCTTTTCTTTTCTCTAGGCTTTGATAGGAAACAATATGCTTAGTTTAAAAGAGAG